GGGGTATCTTTCGCGATACAGCTGACAAAATTATATGGCTTATTATTACGGCTGTCCAGACTTGTTATCACGAGAAATTAATGACAGTTGATCGATTGGAGCGAAAAGGATAAAAAAAATGGAAGCCTCGGCTGTTTTAAGATATAGACAGTCGGTTTACTTTTTTTTAAGGTACGCTGGTTGGAGATGTACCATTGCGCGTTCGTGTCTTTTAAATTTACGATGAATCTTCCTCGGAGGGAATTCTTAACGATTAAATCGAAAAGAACACGAGGAGGGAGCTCACGGGACTTGCCGCGGAGACGACGGTGGATTAAACCCGCGCTCTATTTTATCGTGCTTTCGATAACCCGCGCAGACGTGTCATGCAAACCCTTCGCGTGTGCGTGTGTGTTTGAGTAAAACGCGCCTCGCGTAAAATAGGATGAATTCCGAAGTAACATGTCCTGTCCGGCGCAACATTGTGCCGATGTCATGCCTAACGCACCAGAGAACCGTGGAAGATACGCACGACGCGTGAGACAGGATCAAGCTCGCTGATATCAAGATATATCTTTGTAACGCGCGATATCGGGCTCGACAATCGATTCGCCTCTTTCCCGGCGGTGGAAAAAAAGCGCTGGTAATTAGGAGCACAATCTTCTGCTCGTCATAATTGTCATTTTAATTGCATTCTATGTTACTCATTATATTTCCCATATTCATATCGTACGAACGCACGCACATATACACATACACACACACGTAGATGTCGAAGCGCGCAACTCAGAATTTAACCTTGCTATCTATACACAGATACCGTCACCAAATTCATACGTTCGGTCTGTTTACGAGCGGGCTTGACGTCCGCGCTCGGGTAGCTCTTCAGAGTAGCTTCGATATCGAGTAAGACGCAGCTCGCGTCGTCTAGAGGCGCGCTGCTCTATTAGTCGAGCGCCGCCTCTCATGTGGGCGTCGCCGGTTTCTTCGTAATAGTTCTCGGTAAGGTACGTTGCCGCAAAGTACCTGTTGCTGTTGCGAACTTTTGCGCACGATTTTTCCACCCATTTTCGTCGGTTTGCGAGTCGCGAGAGAGAGAGAGAGAGCGCCGTGCCATTTCGATCCGCATCTCGAGGCGAAGAAGGGCGCGAGTTACTTCTCTCGTTCCGCGAGCCGTCACGCGCGAGAAGCCGCACGCACGCACGCACGTAGATCGCGAGTCCAATGAACCGGCCCGCCGTACAGAGAGCGATCTCGCGACGTTACGCATGCAAATCTATGCGAGCGAAGGAGCGACGTCTTTTTTCCCGCTCGCCGCGACGCAATTGCGCGCGGGCCGATGTGAAAAATCGCGCGGAGGAAAGTGTCGCCGAGCGTTCACACGTAGCAACGAACGCGCGAAAGTTGTCGCTGTGGCAGATACACGACGGCGGACCCGTGAACTTTTTCATGTATATGTTAACATATTTCAATCTGTCGAAAAGTCCGCGAAAGTATAACGCCGGGGGAACGAGCGACGCGCATCTGTTATCGCGGGCAGTTACTTGCATCTTTCGATCGGATGTTTAGAGTAAAAATGTGGGAAAGTAACGAGAGGTGAGAGATTGAACGTAATTTCTCTACCCCAGATCCCCTCGAATATTCATTCGACACACATTGTAACGTTATTCATAACACGCAATAGTATTTCGCAGTAACAGCGGTAGTTACAGAGGGTGCAACAGCAAAGTGAAAAACTACGGGTCTGTTGGATCATTTCACGTTGAAACAAACGTTCGCTCCAACGTCCCATCATGAAGAAATAATCACGCTGTAAAATAACTTTCCTGCGCAGAACGGCTTAACGAAATCGTCGAAAACGCAGCTGAAACTGTTCTTACATTTTGTATTAACAAGAGGAATTCACCATCTCGCCGGTATCTAAACACTTGACGCGAACGTGACTGTGACTGTGACTTTGGGAATTTCAGCGTCTTTGGGCTTTTCTCTGCTTCTTTTTTCTTCGCCAACATGGCTACCGCGAGCTACTTCAATCTCGCCAAAGTAGGCGGGATCGATCCGCCGCGGCGCGTGGTTTGCGCCGCGGAAAATAGTAATTTTCCCCGCAGGGTGGTTTGCCGAGTCTAGATGCACCTGACGTAGGCGATCTTAGACTGATTAAGGTAATTCGCTGAAATTCGTTCTCCTACTTCATCCCCTCCGTCCGGTCGCCGTCGTCGCGCACAGGGGTGAAAACGCGCATGTCGGAATACGAGAGTGGGGCTGCACCTACTCCGAGAGCCCAAAGCGAATAAACATGGGTTCACGCGACCGTCAAACGCGATTGCGTTCGAAATTACGTTCGCGGGACGATTTCGGCTCGCTTTGCCGTTAGTTTCGGATCTGGCGAATTAGTCAAAAATTATTTTCACGCCGGTATCGAGAGATTTAATTCAACTTTGGGAAATTAGAATCAGGGGGCTGTCGCCGAGCTCGGAATTTACTCGCACGTGGATCGCGCAGCGGGCAGTTCCCACAAATGTCGAGTTTTTGATGGTCGGAAGATCATCGTTGACGTTTGTTGTTGTTGTTGTTGCTGTTGGGTTAGATCAAGCTCCGTTTGATATCGAATCCGGTTATTTTAGATTTAATCTTGTTCTTTTTCGACACACTCGTAGACAATACGGCACAAAATTCTATTTGTTCTTGCGCTCTGAACAAAATGACAGTTGAAATTTGTTGTACTTTTCTGTTGGATCAAATCCCTCGATAAGTATTGTGTAATGTTGGTTGATCGAGGACAATTTCTTATCTTCGCGTGATCCCGCTGTCGTTGTCGGTCCGGCACTTGCGATCAAGGTGTCTGGATAAAGTCCCGTCCGACGGACGAACAAAATAAGATCCGGCATGACGCGAGCAATGACGTACAGCGTGTCCGGAAAAAATCGGATTAAGCAATCCGTGTTGGTGGATCAACTTTCGTCTCACGTCTGGCTAATCCTAATCTGGTTTATGTGATTCAGCTAACCAGGTTCTTTCCACGGTTTCCTGCCTCTCACTTTTTCCGGCTAGGGGAACCACGTGTCGCGGAGTTGTTTCTCTGGGATGAGAAGATCGCGTCTAGCGGCAAACATTCATTGTGGCATGTTTAGACTAGGAATAGAAGAGATTCGCCGTCTGATACTTCGATGAAAAACTGGAAATAATCTCGTAGACTATCGCAGCCGACGATGACGTAGGAATGCATGATCAAGTTTTGCGATTAATACTCCGAAGATGTTCTCGCCGTACATTATGTGTGCGCAATCAGTTGTATTTCACACCCAAGGAAAATTACAAACGTTTCATATAAATCTTTTTTAATAATATACCTTCGCACACAGTGCGGGAATGGTTATCCGAGCGGTTTATTTTAATCGACATCGATCGGTGCATGAATACCTTGTACGTGTATATTATGTTCGTTAAGACCGTTATTCGAGCATTCAAGTCGTTACGCGATAATATCGCTGGAATTGCATATGGTGCACTTGTACGCAAAATTAGTTTCTAAACGTGTGTTACCTTAATTTATGTTATTGATTATGAGATTAGATAACAATTTACTGCCTTAAACGCGCCGTAAATATCTTCCCGCAAAAATAGGCGCCTATAATCCTTAACGCGATTTAAAGACCTAACCCTCATTTTATTTTAAATACGTGCCCACTAATCCGGAAGCGTATTTCAACTCTCAGCTAGCTGGAGCTAATGAAATTTTATGTCATCATTACACGCGATTAATCGCCAAATCCAGCATTGTTCAATTCCCTTTATTCCAGCTTTATTTTCATTATTATAATATTAAATTATTATAGTATTCCATGAGTACTATACTATAATTTTTTATATTAATACGCTGGTTGAACTCTTTGTGAACATGAATTACAAATGTTATTTGTATATTATGAATTATATTTATATATTAGGAATTTATTTATTAATATTTCGACGATGGGCAGATCGAGAATCAATCGATAATATTTGCAAATCATGTTGAAACACTCTCGTTTCGTAAAACCGTATTTTATATCGAATCTCATCGTATATTTCCGATATGTTTTCTTCAATATATGATTTATGAATTCATATAACGAAGAGAGATACATTTTGTTTTATCCACACACACACTCACACACACACACACACACATACACATACACACGAATCATAAACGACGGCTTTGATTCCATAAACGTAGAAATTCATAAAAGTTGAAATATTGTACAAGTTATTTCAAATAGTCCTATCGAATATATAAATAACTTTTTTTCTTACAACTCACCATTTGCCTCGCTAATATTCATAATAGCTAATTCTCAAAGGAAGAAGAGGAACAATGTGAAGTGAAAACATTTCCCGAGAATGATAATGTTGTTATGATATTTAATCGCGCTCTTATTAAACATCGAAATGTATTTAATTTTTTCTTTCCGTTGACACTAAGATCTGCGCGAATTTATCATACCGAGTGATCCGTTTTTCTTACGATCGGTATATCAGTTAAGGGTTATCTTCGAACATCGTTAGTAGGGAGCGCGTGCAAGTCGATTATACAGAATAGTTTACGATCTCGAAGTTAACTTGGGAACGATCGCGAGCTGCGTCGATGGCAAGCCACCCTTACCTTTCTCGCCCTTCCGCGAGAGGGATGAGATGCGCAAGGTCAGATCTTAAGGGTGGGAGGAGGGTTGCTAGGTTGACAACCCTGCCAGCCAGGCAGAGGGACTCCGCCCATTGGCGGAAACCGCGGAAAAAAAGGAGAGGAGGGTGAAGCCTGTGGGACTCAATGATGGCGATAAAAACGACGAGAGGGTGAAGAGAGAGAGAGAGAGAGAGAGAGAGAGAGAGAGAGAGAGAGAGAGAGGGAGAGAAGGAGAGAGAGAAGGAGAGGAAAAAGGACAGAGAAACAGAGAAAACGGAAAACAGATAGAAGGAAGGAGAGAGAGAGAGAAAGAGAAAGAGGAGGAAGGGATGAGAAAGAGAAAGAAGAGAAGGAAGAAACGCAGGGAGGAAACGCGGAAAGAGCAATCTCGTTCGCGAAATGTTAATTAACGACGAATTATAATTGTTCGCCGTGAGCTAGGCCGCGAAAGATGCATGCGAGCGCGAAAAAGCGGCCGCGAAATTAGCGTCCTGCGAGATCGCGCGACTATATTATACTGTAAATGCCGAAACGCGCGGTCGTTAAATTCGTCGATGCAATAATCCGCGGCTTTTTGTTTAAGCGCTACGGGATTTACGATGGCCGGTCGGTCTCTCGTAGCGACGTTCCGCGATATCTTTCTTCTCACTGTCCTCGCGAATTACAGAACGTTGCCCGGCGAGTGACCGCGATATCGCTATAAAATATAAAATGTCGAATTTTCGACCGGTCATTCACGACTATTGTAACGCGAACATTTTAACCGCAATGTTTTACATTGTTTAAATTGCCGCGCTTAAATTATCATGCAATACGGGGCAGTAATTGAAACTCCAATTAGCGCTCGGTAATTTTTGATATGTTTAATCGTTACCTCTATTTTCGCCTCCCTCCACTATATTAACAGTTAACAATACATACGCGCGACCGCGGCAGAAAATGTGAATAATAATCGTGGGCTTGTAGATTCCTTGGCGAGCTTCTCAATGCGTTCGGAGATGATTGTCACTTGGCGGAACTTTCATTGACAGCCGTGTCACTGGTTGGTCGCCAACATTTAATTTCGAATAAGTGTTGATTCAACGGTAATTAAGCCAAAAATGTATTCCACGGTAATTAAGCTCGAATGAAATGCAAATCTACAACATTGACAAATCTACACAGCAAATCTACAATATTGACGCAGTAAATCGGGATATTACTCGATATTATCGATTTTTCCCACAATTTTTCATAAGTTGACCGATACGTGTGTGAGAAAGAAGTTATGCGTTTCAACGTCGAAACATTTTCTTCGAAAATTCTCTCGGGATTTTCATTACGGGTCGAAAGAATATAAAATCAGTGCTCGATAGCGACACACAAAAGTCACATCGGGGCTTTTTATAAGTGTTGACATAGGAGACACAACTCCGCGATTTGACCGGATCAGCCGATCAGATTTTTCTCCAGAAACAATCGTCCGCGTTCGGAATTTATCCGAGAATTCGGAACGTCAAGGCGCGATTTTCGAGTTGTAATCTTATCGAATGAAAAAGCGTAACTTCCCCGCGGATCGGATTAGTTGCTTCTTTACGTGATTAGTACGGCGATTATCGTCGCATTGTTGTACTTTTATAGAGGCCGCCTATGTCAATCGAATCACCGGGTACGGCGATTTAACCGTCGAATGTACAAAAAAGCCGAGCACAATGCACGCCTCGTTATGCACGCGCGCTCTTACAATGAAGGCGCTTAATCTTCTTTCCCAAATAAAACACGCCGCACTCGGCGAGACTCCCGAACATTCCGTAATTTATTCGCAACGCGTGTATTAATAAGCCATTTTTTTTTTTCAACAAATCACCGCCATGCTTACTTTGCGACCGTCTGCGACTTTAATTCGACTCATTGCGGATAATTTCGCGTGTAACTCCGATTGGATTACTATTGTAATAATTACACGAGCGATTTGGGAATTAATGCTCGCAAATAAATAAGCCGCATATGACAAAGCAGCGGCGGCGGCGGCGGCGGCGGCGGCGGCGGCATTTAACGTTACGGGCCGGTCTCGCGATATTTATCTGTCGACGTTCTTTGACGGGCTCGTTAAGTACAGAGGGATTGAATTACGCGCGAATTAAAAACCGCAAGACGGAAAATGCCATGTATGCGTATCACAGTAATAATATTGAAACACGGCCGGTATGCTTCTGATACGGGCGACGCATCCGCGATTAAGCTACGCTAAATCGCGTAAAGCCGTGCGTTGTGCGTTGCGGCAAGCACGTGGCGCGTATTTACAACGAAATGTTCAGCACCGCGTGCAGAACTAATATTAATTTAAGCTTTGCCCGGAACCGACCAATGACGTAGCGTTTATGCCCGCGTGTTACCGTGCGTTAATAACCGTACGTTAATATTTCATCAAATTGCAAGTGTAATTTTCGCATTCGGCCGCGCATCCAATCGAATAGTTGCGAGGCCTCGCAAGCGGCTTGATTCGCGTTTTCTTTTTTGCTCCTCGCGCCCGTCGAAACACACACAAAATGCGCTTGAAACGGGCGTATCATCGAGGGCAAGCTTGTTGCTGCACGGCGCGGCCGAACGTCATGTTACACAAGATCGCGCGGCCGGTCGAAGCGACGGAGAAGAGCGTAACGTGTGTGTTCTCTTTTAATTTCAGCAGGGAGACGCGGTTTGGCGATGCTCCTGTCATGTGCAGGATGCGACAAACCGATAATGGATCAGTACCTGCTGAACGTTTTGGACCGTGCATGGCACGTCGAGTGCGTGCGCTGCTTCGACTGCAGAATCACGCTGCAGGACAAGTGCTTCTCGAGGGAAGCGAAGCTCTTCTGCAGGAACGACTTCTTCAG